TTCATACAGTCTGTCTGTGTACACAACGACAACTGGTGCTTTGTACTAAACGGATGGAATCAGAACACCTGTATTCACGGGGAAAAAAAGGAACCAGGGTTCAATGCTCGGGGGTCGTAGGCCGAAAAAAGAAAGGCCGTGAGATTGGTAAGAAAACGTCGGCGTCAATCTTCAATTCGAGAAAGGAGAATATTATTTCATATTGTCAACGCGTTGTTTGCGTCTTCAGGAGACGTCGAGGAGCCGGCAGGTCTCACTTTGTCTGCTGTTTTGCCACTAAAGCTGTTCTCTCCCAAGAGGGAAAAAAAAGAAAAAAGACAAAGGCGGGAGGCAGGAACAGGGAGGGCGGCTCAGCCTATCTTGCTCTCACACACACACATGCACACACAAAACACACACTGTGTCTCTGCATGGCACACAAACAGGCCATCTCCGACAAAACACCCAACCAGACTATCTAGCGAACACATGCAGCCGAGGAAAGAATGGCGCGTACGGCTTTTTCAATCAGCCGCAGTCCTCGAAAAACACATAAAAAAAAGAAAAAAAAAAAAAAACGACTGCGAGGGAACGTAAACACGAGCCAAATCACGGGGACGTTAATTAGGCAAAGTGGGGATTTCAAGAAATATTTTCATAGGTTTTGATCCGGACATTTACACTCTCTAAACCAGGGGTGTCAAACATAGGGCCCGTGGACCAAACGCGGTCCGTTTGGGGCTTCGATACGACAGTTGTTTGTTTGCCTTAAGGTTTGATCCGGACTTTTACACTCTTTAAAACCAATGGTGAGCCTTAAGGTTTGATCCGGACTTTTACACTCTTTAAAACCAATGGTGACAAACATAAGGCCCGGGGGCCAAAACCGGCCCGCTTGGGGGTTTCACTCCGGGCCGCCTGAATTTTGAAAATAAAACAAACACTGAGCTGCAGTGACGGGCTTGTGCCGGGTTCAGCCTGAGCTCGAAAGCAGTGATTATATCCACAAATAGCGCAGTGTCTGTGCAGTGATTTGTGGAGGTGTTAAATACAGACAAACCAATGGGTATTAAAGTGAGTCTGTTGAACTCATGTTGGACGGAAAATCCACTTACAGTGGGGTTTTTTTTTTTACCCATGCTAACAATGTTACATAACTTGGGCTCCAGAACTCCAGGTGAGTTAGTGATTAATATTCCAGGCCATGTTAATCACAAAAAAAAATCACAAATTTTAGCCTTTATCATTGGACACAGTACCCTTAAAAAAAAAATATATTTTTTTTTTACAATGGGCTCTTTTTCCCTTGTTCCGAAATCCATTTTTTAATTAGCGGTCTTCTTTCAAGTAGTTCCTCTAGTAGCTTGATCGTTAATCCTCAGACAAAAGTGTCTGCTAAATACATAAATATAAATGTAAACGATGTATTTAACGTTTGATTTTAACGTTAAAGGAACGGTGACACATTTGTAAACGTCAGGATAACAATAATATTGTTTTTCTAAAGTCAAAAAACCCTGCTTTTATCGGGTATAATTTCCAGGAAGCTAACTAGGCTAGTTTGCTAGCTTACTTTAATACACCGCTGATTGGTAGCAAACAACAGAAGATAACCACAATTAACAAGACTACGTTTAAAGGTAAACAACACAATATAATGAAGTACGAATTACCATAAGATACAGAAATAGACCCGGAAAAGAATCACAGATTTAGGAACACGTTTTGAACAAATCAATCATTTTCATTCATCAGTTCTTAGCAGGAACGCGCGTGTTAAAAATAGAATTCCCGGAGAGCACCGAAACACATGGTCCTCCACTCTAATGAGCCAAACTCCACTCACGCTTCCAGCTCTTTGTGTCGTCAAAACAAAAGAACACCTGCCACCTTCACACCTTAGATGGCGCTGTATTAGCTCCTCACCAGAAGCTGTAGAGAAGCAGCTGAAGGAAAGAAAAGAGACTAGAGACTAGAGAACAAAAATCTGTTTTGATGGCCTCGGTAAAAGCCTATAATGTTGATCTAAAACGGCGGTTCTCAATCATTTTCTGCTATAGCACCCCCTAGGGGACAGAATTTTTTTTCATGCTCTCCCCACATCCCTAAATTGAAATACTATTAAAAACCTGATAATATGTATTTTTCTTATCTGTACAAACCACTGTGTGAGTTGTGTGCTGCCCCCTAGTGACTGGAGGCTTGTTTGTCGTTCAAGCATGCTCTCTGGCAATTCTATGCACCCACCAGGGGGCCCCGCCCCGCTATTTGAGAAGTACTAATCTTGAAACAGAAGTGTATTTACGTTTAAAAAAAATTACTATTTCAATAAAGAATGCCCGAAAAGACAAGTAAAATAATAATTGTAATAATTGATTTCCATAGTGGGAGACTTGACCTTTGTCTGAGGTCATCTGTTTTGTTCTGTCTATTTTAGCCTACAGAAACCGGAACATTCCTGCATCAGATGTTTTTGTTTTTTTTTTCAAATTGCTCGCTCTTGGTGTTCTAGGTATCATATGCCCGGCCAAGCTCGGCTTCTATTCGTGACGCCAACCTTTATGTAAGTGGACTCCCCAAGACCATGAGCCAAAAAGACATGGAGCAGTTGTTCTCCCAATACGGTCGCATCATCACATCCCGCATCCTAGTGGACCAAGTTACAGGTACATCCTCACGTCACCTTTCACGACCTCTATTTTACCCAGTCAGGCCACGGGACACGTGACGCTAATGCGCTGAAATTGGTCTTTTTTTTTTTTTTTTTTTTTTTTTTTTTTTTTTTTTTTTCCGTTCTGCCAGGCATATCGCGAGGAGTGGGCTTTATTCGATTTGACAAGCGAAACGAAGCAGAGGAGGCCATCAAAGGTTTGAACGGACAGAAGCCTTTGGGCGCCGCTGAGCCCATCACTGTTAAATTCGCAAACAATCCCAGTCAGAAGACGGGCCAGGCCTTACTGACTCAGCTGTACCAGACCGCCGCCCGCCGATACACCGGGCCCCTGCACCACCAGACCCAGCGATTCAGGTACTGAACCTCGACTCACTGAACCTCGACGGTGTCGCTCACTAACCCAACAGAGTCCTTAGTCTGTGAACAGGATCACGAGACCGAAGTCGCTCCTGCTTTGTGTTTGATGTACATGTCGTTCTGTCAGTACTGTTAAGGTTTTTTGTAATCATGTGAAATCGAGTGGATAAAAAACAACCGATCATCAGAATCAGATCAAAACCAAGATATATATATATAAAAAAATCAATCATTTGTGGTAAGAAGGAGTCCAGAAGAAAAGTAGGACGTACTTTGTCGCCTCTGTAACCAACTGTTCCTTTTTAGCAATGTTGTTCTAGTACGGCAGGATATGGCAATGTGTCATTGTCATTCCTCTTTTTCTCTGACTTTTTTTCTTAACTGCAGTGTGATCCCTTCACTTGGAAAGGGACCAGACCCAAATAGCAGCTCAAAACCAATGTAAGAGACCAGATTTTATCCCTAACAACACCGAATTTCAAAAAGAAAAATGGACGGGTGGGTGGGGGGGGGTAAAAAAAAAAAAAAAAAGGGGGGATCCAAAAAAGTAGAATGCCACATGTACATGATTCAAGAGAAATTTTTTCTTATATAAAATATTTCAAAACTATGCAACATCATTTCAAGGTAACATGATGATTTTTTTTTTTTAGTCTGAATATTTGTGATTTTGGGGGCACAGATTTTGCTTTGACAACTGAAGTGGGTTATAAAATGTCAGGCTGTGGCGATTGCAGTATTGTACAAGGTCCATATGGTAAAATATTGGAGATTGAATCCTTTTAAAACAGCCAGTGGTGGGCCATCGAAGCCGGCGGTGCAATCTGGCTTGATCAACTCTCAGCATCACTGACATGTATTTTCCCTGTTTGTTTATGCCAGGGCTTTTGATGAATCATCTTTAAGCCGGCCTTCGTTGTCAGGGTCGGAGAAATATGATGAGAAGAATGTAGCCTAAAGTAACAGGGCTGTATTTTTTTTCTGATAGCGTAACATTAGCGTTTTCACATCGCGTGATTGGCTGGTTTAAAGCAGGGGTGTCAAACACATTTTGGTTCAGGGGGGTCGCATACAACCTAACCGGACCGGTGCAAGTTTGTCTTTTTTGCTTTGTTTTCATGCCAAAAAAATACATCAGATACATTTTCATATTTAATGAAATGTCATTTTACAAAACATTTCTTAAACATGAAGCGTTAATGTATTTTTATTTTATTATTATTTTCAAAATTTAGGCGGGCCAAATTTAAACCCCAAGCGGGCCGGTTTCGGCCCACGAGCCGTATGTTTGACAGCACTGGCTTAAATAGTGTAATAATATGAATCAAGAAATATAATTTTACACAAAACATTTCTTGAACATAAAGTGTTGGTGTATTTTATTTGTATTTTCAAAATTCAGACGGGCCTGATTTTGGCCCGCGGGCCTTATGTTTGACACCGCTGTTTTAAAGAGTGTCAGGCAAACAAAGAACTGTCAGATTGAAGCCCCCGAACGGACCGCTTTTGGCCCACGGGCCTTATGTTTGACACCCCCTGGTTTGGTCCGGATCAAAACCTGTGGCAGACAAACTACTGCGAAACACTGACTTTTATTAGCGTTAGCATTAGCGTCCGGGGCAACTCCCTGTGTACGAAATAGAGCAGTTAACTACGGCCATGATTTCAAAATAAGGGTATTGAGAGTTGGCTTTATTCTGATAGGACACCAGTGATGGTGATGGGAAACACATGGCCCACCACTGGCTGCAGCCGCTGTGTTTACGAATGTCCTCTTGAGGCCAGCCGCTAGAGGAGCCACGTATGAACTGACAGCGCCCACTTCCTTGTAGAGCTCACCACTAACCCTCTGCATCCCCTTCATTCTCCCTCTTGCGTTGCAGACTCGACAATTTACTAAACGCCAGCTACGGAGTCAAGAGGTAAATGAAAAAGGTGTACTTCAAAAAAAAAAAAAAAAAAAAAAAAAAACATCCATGCCAAAATAGACCCTGAAACAAAGTGCTCGGAATACCACTTCATCATCTCGAGCATTAGTTACCATCAGTCATTAGTCAGTGGTAATCCTTAGTTCGCTCTAACCAGTTAACCAAGTTACTGAAGCCGCCCCGAGAGGGAAACAACAACAACAACAACAACAAAAAAACTTAACAGCTCTAAACACCAGGCCTTTCAACAACAGGGTATTCTGGCATGGCTTTGTTTACACCGTTTTGTTCCTTAGTTGGGTTTTAAGAAAAAAATATATGACATACGTATGTATGTATGTATGTATGTATGTATGTATTTATTTATTTATTTCCTCCCAAACTAACATTGTCAGTTTCAGTTGCTTTAATGTCCTCTTTTTTTTTTCTTCCACCAGCATGGACTTCCCAGACTTCCGTTTTTTTGCATCTTCCGTTTTGCTCCAGTTCTTTTGTATAATTTGATTCCGGTTTTGCTTTTCATTCCCCTCTCTAGGTTTCTGTTCTTTCTTGCAATGCCGTGGTTTTACGTTCAACATTGTGAATTCATGTGGTTTTTTTTTCTCCTCGATCTTTCACAGACTTCGGTCAGCAGGGGGAAAAATCATGCAGATTGTGTCTTTGTGAAGGTGGGGGAGGAGGAGGAGGCGCATGTAGGGAGGGTGGGGGACAATCCCGCACGGTACCCGTTTCGTACGGATTGTCGATCCGTACGAAACGGGTACTTTTGGTGCCAACTGTGCGATGCCCGCGTACAGGACAATGCAGGTGGAGTCCCCCCCGAACTCCAGTGCCCTGTGCGCCAGCCTTATCATTTCGGACCGACAGGGGGCAGTGTAGAGCAGAGAATGTGACGGAGAACTTCAGAATGACACCCATGGTAGCTCTCCTGCTCTTTTCCCCAGATTCTCGCCCATCACCATCGACAGCATGACCAGCCTGGCCGGCGTCAACCTCAACGGTCCGACCGG